TCAGTCAGTGTAACAGCTGGAGACCCACACTGAACAGTTCCAACGTTAAACTTCATACTCAACATTTCTGGTTCACAGTGGGGAAATATTGTCTGCAAAACAGACTATATCAATAATATTAATATTAATAATTTTATTAATATTAATATCAATTTATAAATATATATATATATATATATATATATTATTGTTTTAGTATCAATAAACTCGTATTTAGACATTAAATTGTCTCCCAGCTCCGGTAATAACAGTCAGACAGAGAGCTGTTAAAATTATAACTTTATTTTTACATGATAAAAACTGTTTGGCCCCTGCCTCTTCACAATAAAAACACATTTCCATTGCAGACGGACTCGTCTTCATCATCATCATCATCTTCATCTTCAGACAGGTATTTACAGGCACATTTACACACTGTTAGCAAACTGTACACAGTCAGGAGGAAAGCTCTCTGCTTCAGTACAACTGATCCTGAATTTATACTTTATACAAACCCTTTAAAGTTTTTATTCCCTTGTAGAAAAACGTTCAGTAACAAACAGAGCTCGACCAATCAGAGCTTAGAATCTGTTTCATCATGTCCCAGAAGACTAAAAAACTGTACAGAGATCAGGAGGTCAGAGGTCAAACTGTGACCTCCATTTACATACATCATCAGTGGCAGACTTTAAGTTCAGCCTCTTGTTTTTATTTAAAAAAACAAAAGAGTTGAAGACGAAGCACCATAACATCTTCACAATCATCATCATAACATGCATGCAGAAGTCTAATCTGATCAGAGAACTACAACTACGGGTCAAACACAGGCTCGAAAAACACACAAGGCAAAAACACAGGAGAGACATTGAGATTAAACAGCTATCAGAAATATTAAAGATGAAGAAGAAAAGTACGGAAACTGCGATCAGTCAGCAGGAAGATCCCGTTTCAAAATCGGACGGTCCGAGTCTGGGTTCTTATTGCCTGATGGGGTCAGTCCCAGTCCCGGTCCCAGAGTCCATTTACAGTGTAAAATGTACAGCACGGTCCAGGAAGTATCCTGTCCCAGAGTCCAGGAAGTATTGTGCCAGGAAACAGGAAGTGTCCCATTGGGGAGTCCAGGAAGAATCCTGTCCCACTGTTTGGCCGACAGTAGTTTCTCATGTAGATGAAACTAAAACCTGACAGTTCGTTCACACCCACTAAATCCACTTTGCGACAACTTCACACAGCTAAAACAACAAGCTGTTGCCATGGAGACACAGCTGATAATCTGCAGGCTGACTCCAAAACTCCAACCTCTGAGGGATAAACTCTGACCTGTTTCCAGGTCGTAGTCTGGACCATAGGGCTGTAATCTGCAGAATATTTGCTGATTTGCAGAATGGTGGATATGTACATTAAACACTGATTATTCTGTTACATCATATCGAGTGAAGCCCATCAGTCTGAGGGCGCTCAGATATTTGGGTTCAGCCTGTGTGTTAGGAAGCAATGTGGCTTTGCACACGTTAAATCAACAAAACAAGCTAAAAGTGAGACCTATGCTAGCTGTTAATAGCCGAAGGTTTGTGTCCACACACAGTGTAAATACAGTGAACCCATCGTGTAACGCTATATGTTGCACTTAAACATGCTGGTTGTTGCTGTTTGTTTGTTGATATGACAGGTTTATCCTCCCGAGGAAAACATATATTACATATATAACATATATGACATATCCAGTGTTATAGCCAGCAGGCTCTTTAAAGATATTACACAGTTGTAACATCCTGTCAGTAACATTTGAAGCAGTTTGTTGTTAGCTAGCTAGCAGCTGCTAGCATTTAGGCTAGCCTGTATCATAGTAGCTAAAAACAAGTTATAAACGTTAGCATATTTTAATGTGACAGATCATTCTTGATCTTGAAACACAACAGAGTCAATGAGTTAAGATTGTTTTCAACCTAGCATAATGTTATATCTTATGTTATGCTAGCTGTTAGCGAGACTCAGGCTTTTTGGGATCAGTCTGGGGTATCTGTACATGATGAGTCAGTGTTGGTGTAAGTCAGTGCTGTTTTCACTCAATGGTTCAATAAGAGGTAAACATTTAAACTAATTTATCTTCCCATAATGCACTGGGACACAATATCAATTAGGCTGCTGTCAAAACAGACAGACAGTGCCACCTAGCTGCAAGAGTGAAGGCACAGCTGGGATAAATCGGTATAAATAGGACTTTGTACACATAAGATAGTAACCAGCAAACACACACACACAGTTTAATGTCCTCCCTCAGATTTGTGATTGATCATTGATCAGCTCTTTGTTCATTCAGCATGTTTAATGTTAAACTAAATTTTCTGTCTGATTCTAGTTTCCTTCTGTTTTAACAGCAGTGCCTGAAATCGGCCAGTACTGGTACTACTGATGTTTGTCCACATGAGTACCCTTACTACTTATTGAGTACTGCCTCCTCAGTGAGAATGGCGGTACCCACCACTGAGGTCACCGATGTCTGGACCTCAATATTTTTTCCGAGGCCTATATATACAATAGAAGTTGTGAAATAATTGCCTAAAAATAACTACTTTGATACTTTGATGTCGCCTAGCAAGTGCAGTATTTATAAAACGCTGCGTACAGCAGCGACGTACTCAATAAGAAACTGACGCTGTGTCGAATACTTCCGTTAGTATACGCTATTATTTACATTATTATTATCCACGCTATGTACTTACTAGTGCAGTAATTATTTAAGCAGCGTAGTGTCACCTTCTTCTTCTAAGGCGTTTTACAACCGCACAGCCTTAGCGCCTGGATTTCATCACGATATAAATCCAAAATGATCCTGCTTCTACTTTTATCTCCTGCGTGTCCCTGTTTCATGCGAGGTGGAAATTACACCGTCTATGCCAAGTCTGTTCTGGTGGTCGCTCCCCTTCCACTACGTAGAGAAAATGGCGCCCGCTGAGTGCCAGAAGTATCCAATGTTTTGAGCGTTATGAAACATCTGGGTCCTCACAGTGCATTCTGCCTCACTAACAGTGTGAACTGATGGACTCTTACAGTGAGAGTGCGGAAGGATTTCACAACTTGTGTCTCTGTGTAAACACAGCTAGCTCAATGCTAAGAAGACAGCACTGAAAATGTCCTTGTTAAAAAGGATAAAAAACACCAGAAGAATGAGGGTGGGGGTTGTGCTGAAGTACCAGGACTACTGGCACCTGTTTTTGGTTCAACTCAGGAACTTAGTGGTTGGTTTATTTCTTTGTTTCAGGAACTAGTCACATTCACTGTTGAGGGAGCTAACAGGCAACATTGCTAGCATCCACAGAAGAAATGTATAAAAGCTGGCTCACATTTCAAATGTTTTCTACAGAATCCGTTCACTTTCATTTACAATAAATGAAATAATAAAATCTGTAAAAATCTTTTCCTTTGAGTTCAATTCGCACTGTCGACCAATAGAAAGCTGTTCTGAAAGAGCTAAAGCTACGTTAGCTTATTAGTTGTGGACCTGTAAAGACCTCTACAGCAGATGGTAGAAGGTCTACGTTCCCTCATCCTTTTGCTGTGTGCTGATTGGCTGATCAACTGTCCAATAATTTACATCGATACAAACCTGAGAACCCTTGTGAGTCCATGTGGACTCCACCTGAAACTGAGGAAGACTGGAAACGAGTGCGGGACAGGGTCCTGAGGTTGTGAAATTACCTGGAGAGTTCCAGGCAGCAGATTAATAATTAATATTATTATTAATTCATATTAGAATCAGAAACTGGAATCAGGCTGAAAATGTAGAAACTCTCCCTGATTATTGCGTTCAATGTGCTGGTTTTAGTAGAAAAGGCAAAAATACTTTCGATAAAAAGCATCCAGCAGGTCAATAATCAATACTTGTGATCAGAATAGAAAATATTAACATTGTGCTTTCTGACTCCTGCAGACAGCAGGGAACTCTGGGAAATAGCTCAAGGCAGCAGGTGATGACGATGTTCCCTGATCTGATTGATAGATTGTCGTTTTCTGGAGCCAGGTTGGTCCAGGTTCAGGTCTGGTTCAGGTCTGGTTTAGGTCTGGTTCAGGTCTGGTTGGGGTTATTTTGCTGCTGCAGAAGGAACCTAAAGAGCTCCTGAGTCTGACTATAAAGACCACGTACACACACACACACACACACACAGGAAGACACAGTGTTAACAGGAAGTCTCTCAGAGCTTCTTCATCCTCCTCTTCCTCAGCACGGGCTCAGGGTCAGAGGTCATCAGAGGTCAGTGACCTTGTTCTCCACCAGGGCGGCGACCTGCTGCAGCCGATAGGCCAACTGCATCTTCTGCCCCGAACTGTCTTCCTCCAGAGACATGATGATCTGACAGACAGGTACAAAGAGAGAGATATAAATGTAGATTTTTTTACTTCTTATTGTTTGACAATTATGATGTGATTATTACATAATAATTGTTATTATGTCATTATTCAGATATTAATATTTGGGTATAAAGTTTATAAACCGTGTGTGTGTGTGTGTGTGTGTGTTACCTGGTCGTAATATTTGTTGATGTATTTGTAGAGTTCATGAAGAGCAACAAGACTGTTCATCTCTGAGGCAAAACTCTACAGACAGACAGACAGAACGACAGTATTAAGTCAATGTTAAGTCTCCTTAAATAAAAACTCAACAACAATAATAACAACAACAACAACAACAACAACAATGATATGTAGTTCAGTTTCTGTTTACTGACCCCAGACAGTTCAGTCAGAGTAGAGTTCATCTCCTGATAACAGCCAGACGCAGCGCTGTGGATGTCACTGTAATACCTACACACACACATACACACATTAGTACAGTAAGATACAATGTGACTGATCCTAGACAGTTAGTGTTTCTATGGTAACAGTCGTCATGCTGACCTTGTTAAACTAAGGAACAGGAAGTTGTCTCACCTCTCCACCAGCTGTTTGTATCGCGGTATCTCTCTGGCGTACAGCAGTTTGTTTACAGGAGAGTCCTGATTGGACAAAAAGAGTTAATACATGTAGAGACAGATAGACAGACAGACAGACAGACAGACAGACAGACAGACAGGTCGTACCCGTCCCACTTTGTGCTCCGAAGTAGTGCAGGAGTCGATGAAGGTCTGAGCAATGACAGACAGGACGGCGTCAATGCTGTCTGTCACCTGAACGTCCAAAACAAACTGAGGATTCTTCAGGATGTTCACCCAGAACCTGAGAGGGAGACTGCAGAGAGACAGACAGGTCAGAGAGACAGACAGGTCAGAGAGACAGACAGGTCAGAGAGACAGACAGGTGTCCATGTCACCTGTTGGTCTTCCAGATGTGGACGGTCTCTGGGTCGTCGATGCCATGTTTCTCTGCCATATCGTCCAGGAAGTCAAAGAAGAATCTGACGGCGATCGGAGGAGGACGCTTCGTACTGAGGATCGCAACAAAGACGTCGTCCACGAACTTCTGCAATGTCCCCTACGGACAGACAGGTAGAGAGACAGACAGGTTGTAGCTTCATGGGACGCAGGTCTGGTCAGGTTAATCTCAGTGTGTTAATGTCTGTACCTTATGGACAGCAGTCTGGTCAGGTAAATCTCAGGTGTGTTAATGTCTTACCTTCATGGACAGCCAGTCTGGTCAGGTAAATCTCAGGTGTGTTAATTTCTTACCTTCATGGAACGAGCGAGTCTGCGTCAGGTAAATCTCAGGTATGGCCTTGGCTCGCTCTCTCTCCCTCATGCTGCTCTTTCTGTGTTTTGGGATTTCAGGATCTTCACTGCTCTTCACCAGGTGCCACAGACGCAGACCCTCCTCCTCCTCGCCCTCCAGCATCGGCGTTTCTACAGCAACCACACACAAACTGTTAGTCACCACAATAACCAATAGGAAAACACCTAGATGCTAGATGGTTCTCTTTGTGTTGGGTTGTGGGTATCCAACACATTCTCAATGTCTCAGGGGTTCTAGAGGTTTCTTTGGGTTCATAATGTTCTAGATGATTCAGGTTCTATATGGTATTCTTTGCATTGGTTCAGGCTCTAGACATTCTACATCATTCTCTCCATGTGCTGGCTCTGGGTTTCAGATGTTCTTGATGTGGTTCTGTTTGTGTTGTTCTAATTGTTCTAGATTAATTGAATGTGCTGTGTTCTTACTTTCTCCTGTCTGAAACACCTGGTTGACTCCACCTGAACTCTGAGAACGAGGAATTAGGGCGACTGTTGCTCCGTCTGGAACCTGAAGAATGCAAGAAAGCAGTTTCATGTTTAACTGGCAGGAAGTGAAGATGAGGAAGGTGTATAAGAAGAGAGACACGCTGTGGTTGGTTGGCTGAACTAGACGTGCTGTGATTGGTCAATTGTTACCTTGTAGTGCTGAAGAGTGTTGAGTCGTTTCCAGCGACCTTGAACCACCGCTGTGACATCATCATCTGACAGGGTCAGGTGACCTGCCTGACCTGAACGCCACTCTGTTAATCAAACAGAGACACAGGTGAGTATGAGCTGTCAATCAAACCACACAGGTGAGACAGGTGTGTGTCCATGTGTGCATACCCAGATCTAGACTGTCTGCTGCTGGTCTCTGAGAGAATGGAGCTCCTCTGTAGACCTGATCTAGGATCTTATCCTTCACCTGCACACAGACAGACAGGCAGAGAGACAGACAGGTAGGTGACAAGAAGAGAGACAGGTGAGGAACAGACAGGTAGACAGACAGGAACCTACCTGTGTGATAGTGTCAGTGTCAAGAACTTTAACAGGACAAGGTTGAACTTCAACTCCGTTCTTCACCAACACTGTCAGAGTCTGAAAGAGAGACAGGTACAAAAGGTCAGACAGGTGTTAACACGTAAAGATGAAAAGGTAAACGAACACCCTGATCTCAACCAGGTGAGTTTTGACTTATACAACCAGGTGTGTTGTGTGACTTTCTACATAGCAATAATTTATTTGAGGATTTTCAGTCAGGATTTAGAGTTCATCACAGCACAGAGACAGCTCTGGTTAAAGTTAATAATGACCTTTTAATTACAATTATATCTATTAATCAAGCCCAATGAAATTAATCAATTATCTAAATTACAAATATGTCTTAAGGACATCCTGGATGAGCTGCAATTTTCAGATGTTAAAATCAGAAAAATATACTTGGCCCCAAAAACCTCAAGAGCAACTCACTGTCTACAGATATAGCTACTCTAGATGGCATTACCTTGGCCTCTAGCACCACTGTCAGGAATCTTGGAGTTATCTTTGATCAGGATTTGTCATTTAATTCCCACATAAAGCAGAATCTCTAAGCAATGCCTTTTTTTATTTACGTTATTTACAAAAATTAGACACATCCTGTCACAGATGGATGCAGAAAAAGATCGATGCAGTTGTGTTGACCTTTCTAGGCTGGATTGTGGATCTGAGGAAGTTCAAGGCCTCCACTGACCCCTGTTTCAACCAAGTGGGGTCAGTGTAGACACTGTAGAGGACTACAGAGTACAGGCTGGGTATGTTGAGCAAGTAAACTGGGACTGGGCTAAAAGAGCTGCTACAGGAAGGACCAAAGCCATCTCCTATTTTCTGAGGCAGGCTGAGGTCCCTTCAACATCTGCAGGACCATGCTGAGGATGTTCTATGAGTCTGTGGTGGCCAGTGCTAACAGACTCAATAAACTGATCCACAAGGCCAGTGACGCTGTGGGAGTGGAGCTGGACTCTTTGACAGCAGTGTCAGAGAGGAGGATGCTGTCCAAGCTTCATACCATGTTGGACAATGTCTCTCACCCACTCCACAACGAACTGGTCAAACACAGGAAGACTTTCAGTGTGAGACTGATTCCGCCGAGCTGAACCACAGAGCGGCACAGGAAGCCATTCCTGCCTGTGGCCATCAAACTGTTTAACTCCTCCCTGAGAGAGTCAGTTAGTCATTAAACTGGACCTTAAAATGTTCTCTGGTTAATGTGAATTTAGAGCTTCTGTAATACTACAATCTTTAAAACTCACTAGTATTACTCATTTCATTTCTGTCGGGCACATACTGTGGCATAGATTTACTTTTGTCTATATTGTCATATAGCCTATTGTATATATTTTATAATAATGTACATACTTAGGTTCTTATTATATTTCTATTTCTATTTCCATTGTTATTTTTTTATGTTTTACTTATATGTATATACCTATATATACATTTCTATTAGATATTGTAATATAAGTATTATTTTTATTCTTTAACATGAGTTGTTGAGTAGAACAACTGGAACAAACAAATTTCTCCCTGGGGATCAATAAAGTATTTCTGATTCTGATTATTTGAAAAGTGTCCTGAGACAACTTCTTATATAAATTGGTGCTATACAAATAAAATTGAACTGAAGTGTGTGTGTGTGATGCCGTGGTTACTATGGCGCAGTAGTCGATGTCCTCTCTCAGCAGGTGGCTGTCGTTCAGAGTCCGTTTGGCTTTTCCCGTCACAGCGTCCACCGGCCCTTTATCCACCTGATACTTTATGGCTCTGTAGAGCATGTAGAGAGGCTCCCCGGCAACTTCCTGACAGACAGACAGACAGACAGACAGGTGAGGGTGAGACAGACGGGGGTAGGAACTGAAGACAGAGACAGGTTAGTATTTCTACAGACAGACAGACCTTGAGGAAGGAGTAGAGGCAGATTGACATCCAGTTGGTCAACATCTTCTCTACAACTGTCTCTGTCCTGAAACACAGAAAACAACCATCAGCAGGACAGACAGACAGGGAGATGCACAGACAGACAGGCAGACAGACAGCTGCCAGGATCTGATTCATTAAATGAAACGATTTAGATAAATCCTGATGTACGACTCTGTTTTGTTGGAGGTTGGTTAACAGGATTCTCTTGAGAAAACGCTAAATGGTTTGAAAACTAATAGAAAGTGTCCAGGTTGATGGTTTATTTTCTAGCTTTTTTAAATATAAAAAATAGTGTCCCACAAGGGTACATACATGGTCCTATTTTATTTACAATTTATATCAGCAATGTTACTAATATTTAGTTTTTATGAAAAACTGATTTTAAGGATTTTTTGTGGACTGAGACTAAATTGTTGCAGACAAAACCCAAAAGGATGTGATTCTCAAGGTTTAAGACTGATGATGGAGTAAATCAGTTACTTTAAGCGACTGAAAGAGTCTCAACCAACAAATAATTGGGCTTTATGTAGATATTTTATACCTGCATTCAGTGTACCAGGCTGCATTACGTTTCGTTTCTGATTTGGTGGTACTGTTGGGTCTCTG